TGTCTAAGAGAAACTTGCCTCACCTTTCCTGCAAAGCATCTTTTCAAGCCTCTCAAGCACCTTCCCCCTCCACCCAGGGATTCTCCTGCTGCCACGGGCAGTTGCAGGATGCTGAGCAGCCCCTTCCTTTGGGTCTGAGCTGCTGGCGGGGCTCTGATAAGAAGGGAGATTGAGGAAGAGAGCTGGGTTTCTAGGGAGATATATGCTGGTGGGACGTGACATGCCAATGAGAGTAGGGCATCCTTCTCAGCCCCGCTACAGAAGCGCAGCCCCGCACCGTGAGCAGGAAAGGTTCACACATCTCCCAGCTGCTGGCAGGATCTCAGCCCCGAGGCTGTGCTGGCTTTGAGCTTGTCCCTGTGCAGGGGTTTTATCCCAGAGGCAGGAGGCGGAGGGGCTCAGAACAGTGTGGGCAGCATCACCACCAACCCCTCTCTCCCCTTTGCAGGTCTTCAACGAGGACGGCACCGTGCGCTACTTCATCGACGCCAGCCAGGAGGATCACCGCAGCTGGATGACATACATCAAATGCGCCCGGAACGAGCAGGAGCAGAACCTCGAGGTGGTCCAGATCGGGAACAGCATCTTCTACAAAGCCATTGAGGTAARTGGGGCTGAAGGATGACTGGGCATCTGCAGTAGGGGAACAGGGGATCCCCACCCTACAGACTCTCCATCCTTTGTTGTTTGTTGGGCTGTTGTTTGGGGTATCYGTGGGAGGACATAGGAGCTTTGCCRTCCTTGGCACTCAGATCTTCCAGGAGAGGTAGGCACTGCAGGGGAGGGTGATTTCAAGGGCTTCAGGGAGTAGGGAAGGTCCATTCTCCTCTCTGTCCCCTTTTGGTGGGCTCATGGAGCAATGTTTGTTGAACAGAGGAAGAGCAGTTGCTGCCCAAGCTTGTCTGGGATGTAAAGCATGAGAAGAGCTGCAATCCTGACCCAGATGGGGCTTTGGGCAAAGACCAGGGTTTGACGCTCTACTGAAAAAGTGGGATTTTGTGCAGAACCTGCTTCTTTATAGCAGGGTAAAGTTTGGGAGGTTCTGTGAAACCCAGGTGCTGTGTGCAGACTGAGCGTGCCTCTGCCCTGCTTTGCCTGGGCACCACTCTGGCTGCACAGGGAGCAGGGAGTGGTGCTGGCACAGCCGTGCCTCGTCTCTCCGCTGTGGGGAAGGGACTCTTCCTGCTCCCCTCATCCCTGTGCTCCTGTATGAAGAGTTGGTCAGTTCTGGCGTGGCACAGGAGAAGGTGCCGGGTGCCAGGGATGGCACAGGCTGCCCTGCTGTGGGGTGATGGCTGGGGGACACCCACAGCTCCCTACAGGAGGCTCTGGGTGGAGGTGGGTGTCATGCTCCCTGGCATTATTGATGCCACAGGCATAAAAGTCACACAGTGCTGGCGAGGTGGCAGCGGGGACCAGCAGTGTCCCCATAACCTGATGCTATTTCAGATATAGAAAAGTGGCGGTTTGGGGAGATGTTCTTGTTCAACAGCTCCAGCTTAGAGTCAGGAGAATGAACACCTCCCAGACCAGCCCTGTGGGATTGTCCTCCTCCAGTTTCAGGTCCAGGATCCCACCTGTTTGGGAGCATTTGCAGCTGGGAGAGGGTTTCAGCCAGGAATGACCATCAGTGACCATCAGTGCCCGCTGGGCAGCTCTGTGGATCTATCCAGGCTCCTGTGCAGCTCAGCAGGAGCACAAAGTCAAAAGCTCCATGGCACAGGATCACAGCCCAGCCCTGCGCTGAGCCTGCAGCAGAGCTGGGTTAGGGATTGCTGCAGTGGGGTGGGAAATGTGAAAGGGCAGGTAGGAAGAGGATCAGATGTTTTCTTCTGCTGCAGGAGAGTCCCACTCTTGGGCTCTGCCACCTTTCCCAAGAGYTCCAAGCATTTCCCTGCTGTTTTCATGCTGGACAACCCTCTGCAGGCTTCAGTTTTAAGACCTGATATTCCTGTGGGCAGCTGGGCCTGTTGTGACAACAGCTTAAGCGCTTTTTACTACCGTTCTTAAATTATGCAAACAAGTAAAATAATTCCAGGTAGCCGTGGTGTAATTAGGAACACGGCTGTGGGTTTTACACCTCATGCAGGCACGGACAAGGAGGTGGGTGAGCAAATATTTGGGTATAGCCGTGATCCATCTGTGGGCTTGCTCCTGGTGCTGAAGCAGTGAGTAGGATGAGTTTAATTCCCTTGGCACATGCAGTGAATTTGAGATGCTGTGAGTGCTGAACCCCAAGAGATGAGGGGGAGGAGGTGGGGATGAAGGGTCCCTRCTGTCACGCTGCTCCCCAAGCTCGGCAGGACGCACACTCCGACCTGAGCTTAATGCTCAGCAGCACAGGTGTCCATGTGTGGCCATTGTCACCCTCCACCCCCTACAGCCCTGGTGGCCTCCTCACCTCCTGTCCCCCTGCTCAGCTTCCTGCTCGCTGCATCCCTGCCCCGATGTCACTGTGAGCTGCCCGGTTCCTATTGCTCTGCACTCGCTTCTGCTGCATCAGAGCACAGCATCACTTTGGATGCCTTCCTCACCCACCTGCCAAAAAAAAATCAGATTTATTTAGTGCCTTTTTTTCCCTGTTTGCCTTTAATATTTTAATGCAGTTTGCTTGTTCCTGCCCTTATTTGCTGATTTGTTTTTCCCATCCTCTTTCTCAGCAATACCAAGCTGCTGCTGGAAAATAAAGTAAGGGCAGGAAGTTTTAATCTGAAAGCCACAAGATTTCTGGGGGACAAATTGAATTTGCTTTGGGGTGTATGCACATGGGTGCTCACCTGCTGCTGGTGTGGCAGCAACAGCTTCAGCAGAATAAAATACACACACATATGCACCCATGCAGAGTGTTTTATCCTTTCAACAATATTTTATTTTATTTGCTTTTATGAAAAAAATAACTAATTTTCTCTTAAGAGCAAATAACACCAAGAAACAGTGTCATTAATTTGGAATGCAAAAGGACATCGGCTTCTCCCACCTCCCAAATTCCTGTTCTGCAGCCCCRGTTAGGTCTTTATGCAGATGGACAAAGATATGAAGTCAAATTCCTATTGATTTCAGATGCCTAAAATTCAACATATTTTCATTTGTTAAGATGATTTGACTTAGGATCTGTGTTTCATGTGGATGATGCTTTACTTGGATCTAACATGATTAGCGTACGAAAAACAGTCCTCCAAAATGACGGATGCTCCTGTTTCTAAATTAGGTTCTTAACAACAGGGATTGCAAGGGGAAATACATATTTTTTTTATAAAGTGATGATGTTATTAGTGTTGTTTGAATTGGTGTGAGAGGATCCATCTCCCCAGCCACAGCTGCTGCACAAGGGGAGCCTTGACCGGCGTTTCCTGGCTGCTCTCCCCAGCCGTGCGGGAACACGACAGCAACAGCAGCGAAAGGAGAAATGCCATCACTTCGGGGAAATGGGAGTATGGATGATGCAAAACCTGTGCCCTGGTCCTGTAGCTGTCCTTGGGCTGTTGCAGGCACCGCAGTTTTAGTGTGGGACATGAGCAGCATTTCATACYTGAGCCGTGGTCTCTCCTAGCAGTCCCGAGCTCTCCTCTGTTTCATCATCAGATGTGCATTTCCATCTTCTAAAATCAGCCCTGGCAGGGTTGGGTGGGAGATGCTGCCTGTGCCTTGCAGCAGGAGGGTGCTGATGGCTCCACTCAAAGCCAAAATGCTCTGTTGGAGCTCTGAGCTGGGGTCTGTGTCCCAGCTCCCTGCTTTGGTCACTGTAACTCATGTCTCATTGTCAGTCACGGCTCTACAAATGGTTTCATTCTCCTTATCTCTGTGTGCTGCCTGTTCTGGACTCCCTCTGGGTCCTGCACTCCGGAGAGCTCAGCTCTATCTGTGTGCTCTGTAGCTGCACATTTGCCCATCAGCCGGTGTCTCAGCCTGGGGGAGACAGCCTGGAGTGGGTTTGTGCCGGTGGTGGCTTGTGCTGAGCTGTGCCACCACCTCCATTGTCACTGGGCTGTGCCTGCCTGGGGGTGTTGGGGACTGGCAGGTCCCAGATGGCAGTGGGRTCTCACAGGAGATGGGGCACAGCCAGTGTAGCTCCAAAGGGATGGATGTTCATCACCACTCACGACAGCCCCATCCTTATCTCTCTGTCTAGATGATTCCTCCTGACCAAGAGCTACTGGTGTGGTACGGGAACTCCCATAACACCTTCCTGGGCATCCCGGGTGTGCCGGGGCTGGAAGAGGAGCAGAAGAAGAACAAACATGGTAGGTAACATCAGAAAGAGCATGGGTGCAGCATCCCTGCCYGTTCACCCCGTGCCTAGCTCTGAGGCTGCCGGAGGGGTGGGCATGAGGCAGGGACATTCYCAGGGGCTATGTCAGATATCCCAGTTATCTCTGGATGAGTGCAGGGACTATGAGATTCCATACAGCTGGGGCAGGTTCCCAGTAATTCAGGGGGATGCCTCCCGGCCGGTTCACTTGTGGCAGTCGCTGTCTGACCTGGCCACAGGGTCAGGAGGAAGGCAGCCCCAACATGAAAGACCAAATGGATGCAGCTTCCACATCCCCACTCTGCATTTAAGGGCAGCAGAGGAGGCTTTTCTCTCCCTAGGCTTTCACTGTCTGCTTGTCTCACCAGTTCCCTGAGGTGCTCAGCAGAGCTCAGGCTGTGTTTGGAGCTGTATTTGTGCTCCTCAACCCCACTGCCCACTCTGAGAGAGCCATGTCCAAGCCCAGAAGTGCAAGGGGAGAAGCTGGGACCAGTGCAGRGCTGGACAGTGTGGTTGGGTGCTCCTGAGAGTTACTGCACCCATCCCCTCCAGCTCTGCTGCAGTCCAGGGATGGAAAAATTGTTTTTGTGCTCATCTGTAATTCAGATCACCTTGAATGTTCCCCTCATCTTAATTTGGGTGAGACCATTCCCCAGCACTGGCTGCATCCCAAAATCCTAAGAGCCAGCCTGGCTGCCAGTCTAGGCAGACACCAGAACAGGTGTCCTCAGCAACAGGGAGCCAGTGAGAGGGCACTGGGGACTCTGCAGGGCATCCAGCACCCCAGGGACCCGGGGTGGGGTGAGCTGCTGTGCTGGAGGGCAGCTCCTGACCATCCCCTGTTGTCCCCAGAGGATTTCCACGCCGTGGAGACGGGGGCCAGCACGACGGGGCGTATGCGCTGCGTCATCTGCCACCGCGGCTTCAACTCGCGCAGCAACCTGCGCTCCCACATGCGCATCCACACCCTGGACAAGCCCTTCGTGTGCCGCTTCTGCAACCGCCGCTTCAGCCAGTCCTCCACCCTCCGCAACCACGTCCGCTTGCACACGGGCGAGCGGCCCTACAAGTGCCAGGTTTGCCAAAGTGCCTATTCGCAGCTGGCGGGGCTGCGGGCGCACCAGAAAAGCGCTCGCCACCGGCCCCCCAACGCCTCCCTGCAGGCCCACTCGCCCGCCCTGCCTGTGCCCCATCCCGCCTCCCTGGCCCATCACATCCCCACCATGGTGCTGTGAAGCCCCGGCGCGGCAGCGGGATTTGGGATGGCAGAGACTGATGCTGAGGCACACAGCGAACTGGAGGGTGCCCTTGGCTGAGCTGGGGGGCAGAGGCAGAGCTGCTTTGTGTCTCAGAGTGGTGTTGGGTTGTTTTTGGGCGTCGCTGACTGAGGGGAACCCCCAGCTCTGTGGCTGAGTTGTGTGGAATTGTCCCTGRGGACAGACCCCTGGGGTGACAGAGGAGAAGGGACACAGCGGGATGTCCTGTGTGGGTTTGCCAGTGCGCTGGGGGAGGGCTGGGACAGCCAAAAGCTGGGCCTGGATGAGTCATGCCTGGGCTTTACAGATGATTTCATGGAAAGGAAAATTGCTCTTCTCCCTCCTCCTCTGCTCCAGCAGACACGTGCCCTGCTGAAAGGCTGGCACAGYCCTGATGTGGCCACCCCAGTCATGCCTGTTTGCCGCAGGAGTGGCTTTGGCCCCGGCAGCTCCTTCCAAGGGACATTTCCCACCTCGGGAGCCCTGAGTTAGTGAACGATTGCATTTTCCCCCACCTGAGCCCCTTTGCCTGCCCTGCTCCAGCAGATCGAGCCCTGCACTGGGGTCTGTCACCGCTCCGAGCGATCCCAGGGCAGAGGGGACAGGCCATGTGCCAGGGGGACACTGTGCCAGCCGGGAATGCCCATTCCAGGGCAGGTTTTGGGGGGACCTGTTCCAGCCCTGGAAGCGCTTCTCCCCATCCCTTTCCCAGCTGTGAAGGAACATTTTGGTTGGAACTGCTACTGCCCTCTGGGGACAGAGAAAACCTGTCCCCGGGCCAGCTCTGTCCCCAAGGACAACCCTAAGCGCCCTCTGGAGTCCCCACGCTCCGGAGGAGGGCTGTGTATCATAAATCTTAAAAAAGAAGGTATTCCAATATTAATTACAAGTCTAAGATGTATAAAGTTCTCACAGTGTTTCACTTCCAGATGAAAATAAACAAAAACAAAAGAAAAAAAAAAACCCGAACAACTGTCACTTTAACTTTGTAAATATTTATGTAAACATTATTTACAAAACTTTGATATTATATATTATTTGATTGTATATGTACACAGTGTAAATACATTTGTACCTCTCTTGTATTCTAAATAAAAATTACTTGGAACATTTATCATTTAGAAGAGGGATAGCATGGAGGGCTTTATTTTATGTGCCAAGAGAAGGATGTGGGGATGTGAAGATCTTAACACAACAATCTGTGAGTGAGGAGATGTGATGACATTGGTTGGACCAAGAATTGCATTTGGGAGGGGGAAAAAAATGGTTTTGGCTAAAGAAGCCCTTTTTCAGGTCTGGAAGCTGGGGTAAGCGCTGGCTCCCTTTGGAGCGGTGTGTATTTACTGATTCCACCCTGCCAGTCCCTATTCTTAACTTGCACARTCCCTTTTTAAAGCCACAGCTATCCTTTGGTACCTTCTATGAATTAATGCCCACATTTCAGCTGTGATGGGGTACAGGTGCAAGCCCTGCTGGAAGGAAGCGACACATTTGGTGACGGTCATCGCTGACTGCTTTTCCTGTGGTATTTCCTCCGCGGCTCCAAGTGCCGAACTGCTGCTCGAATTAAATGGATAAAACTTTTCCACGGATCTATCAGTTCCTGTTGGCACAGCTCCGCCAAGGGGAAGGGGTCAGTCTTGAGTCCCTCGGGGGTGTTTAAGCCAAGCCTGAGCACCGGGCAGCTCCGGAGGGAATCAGGTTTGTTCTGAGGGGGACACCCGGTGTGAACGGCACCCCAACTTGTGGAGCTGCTCTCCGCCTTGTTCCACAGCATCGCAGCCCGGCCCGGGCTGTGGGACCTTGTGGGACCCTGTGGGGAGCCTGTGGGACCCTGTGGGACCCCGTGAGCCCCGGAGGAGCCGCTGGGATCCCCCCGRTTTGCCGGGAGGGTTTTGGGGTGCGGGTCACTGCTCGGAGCGCCTCACCCTGCCCGCACTAAACATGGCGGTGCCCCATGGRCCCCAACGGGGTGAAGCCCACCAGTACCTTCGCTGCCAGGAACAAACATGGCATCCCGGTCACCGCCCCCGCCGCCCTCACTCAAGATGGCGGCGCCCKCGCCCTCAGGCGCGCTGTYGCCAGCAGCCAACATGGCGGGCGGAAGGCGCGTGTGGCGGGRCCAAGATGGCGGCGGTCACCATGAGGCTGCCGGCCGCCCGCGCTCCCCTGGGGTCCAGCGCGTCCCGGGGCAGCGAGAAGCACCTGGTGGCACCGGGGGACACGATCACCACGGACACGGGATACATGAGGTGCGGGCAGCGGCGGAAGGGAGGCGGCGGCGGCGGGACGCGGTTTCGGGCTGTCCTCAGGCAGCCGCTCTCTCTCTTTCCGCAGGGGCCACGGTACCTATGTGGAGGACGACAAGCTGATCGCTTCGGTGGCCGGCGTGGTGGAGAGGGTGAACAAGCTGGTGTGTGTGAGGGCGCTGAAAGCCAGGTGAGCGCGGCGTTGTGGGTCCGGGCCGGCGGCGGGGCCTGGCTCGGCAGCGTGAGGTGTGTGACCGCCGCTCTCTGTCCCAGGTACAACGGCGAGGTCGGCGACATCGTGGTCGGGAGGATTACCGAGGTAAAACCCCGTGTTTGTCGCGGTAACGAGGAGGAGGAGGGTGGCTGCTGGCGGCCGGCGGGGTTTAATCTGATCCAGAGTGCTTGCCAAGATCCTATAACTGATACACATCAGTGTCCCTGTGCAGGGCACTGGGAATGAGTGGGTTCTAACTGGGATATCTCCCCTGCAGCTTGGTGGGCTGCAGCTCCTGTTCAATTTTTGAGTGTATACCAACAGGTTTGGGATGTTTTTTCCCCTTAGGTTCAGCAGAAGCGATGGAAAGTGGAAACGAATTCCAGGCTGGATTCAGTCCTGTTGCTGTCATCTATAAATTTACCTGGTGGGGAACTGGTGAGTGTAGCTGGTTGTGTTTTACATGGCATCCTAAGGGCCCCCCACARTGAGCTATTGATGGATGTTTTCTCATTCTAGACTACACGTAACTTTTTCCTTGTGTTGTTCCAGAGAAGGAGATCAGCAGAAGATGAGCTTGCAATGAGGGACTACCTGCAGGAAGGGGATCTCATCAGTGTATCCTTCTGCTGCTCCCACTGACAGAAGAGCCAACGGCGTGGGAAGAACAGGCAGAGCTTGGCTGGTGTGGCTGGGGGTGAGAGCTGTGCTGGAGTGGCACTGGGAAACCTTAGGGACYGTGTTTCCTTAAGTGGCACCCACAGGCAGAGGTCCAGTCTATATTTTCTGATGGGGCTGTATCGCTGCACACCCGGAGCCTGAAGTATGGGAAGGTGAGTTGTTCTGAAGCCCTTGATCCTGGCGTAATTCTGCACCAGCTGACTTGAATAAGGCCTTTTGGAGGCTTTTTTTTTAAGAAAAGAGCTCTGGAGTAGAGCAGGATGTTGTTATAATCCATTCCTGCAGGATGGGAACACTCTCAGTTCCTACATGGGAGCACCAGGTACAGTTTCCCCAAAGCAGAGGAGGTGTCCTTGAGTTGCCCTTTGAGCCTCTGCTCTCCMTGTCCACACTTCCAACTTGGCCGTCCTGTTTCCCCACTGGCCACTTGGGAATTAAATCCTGGGGACAAATCTCCTCACTCCTCTTCTGCAGGCCATTGCCCCTGTGACTTGTTTCTCTCCCCAGGGCTCTATTTTAGGCTTTACACAGTTGGCATTTATCGCTGGTTTTGTGCATTGAAATAAGCCAAGGGGCCACTGGAGCGTAGGCTGCAGTTTGGGATTATCAGACCAAGGGTATTAGCACTTAAAAGATGAAAGGGAAGTGTGCTTATTGCACAAAGGGTGAAGGATAGTGATTGGATTAAGAGGGAAAGTGTTCTGCTAAATTGGGCCTCTGACTCCTTATTTTTCTGCAGGGATGGTTGATGTGTAGTTACGATCAAGATATTATTAACATTTGTGCTAAGCACTTAGAGTATTCTTCATCTTCAAAGGGCTGCAMAGGCATTAGCTAATCCTCCCAGCACTCCCAGAGGCAGGCAGGTTTTATATTCACTGTTTCACAGGAAAAGGTGTTAAAATGGASTGGTTCCTAGGCCAGGAGTGGAGTGAGTGACTTGGTGTTGTCTCTGGTGGCTCAGGATGTCTCTCACACTGAGTCTCGTGGTCTCCTCTCCAGCTTGCCCAGGGTGTGCTGGTTCAGGTCTCTCCCTCCCTTGTGAAACGCCAGAAGACTCATTTCCATGACCTGCCCTGTGGTGCATCCGTGATCCTCGGCAACAATGGCTTCATCTGGATCTACCCAACAGCGGAGCAGAARGATGAGGAGGCTGGGGGCTTCACCACCAACTTGGAAGTGAGTGTTGAGGGGAGGTGAACCTTCTACCAATGGTGGTWTTTAGYCTGACATAGTGAGAGGCACATSAGTAATATGAGACTTTCAGGATCTWGTGTTAAGTTCACAGCAAGGTTTTTTTTATTTACATTATTTCCCTTCATTCATCCTTTTTCCTCTGTCCTTTCTCAGCCCGTTCCCTTGTCTGACCGGGAAGTGATCTCCAGGCTCCGAAACTGCATCGTGGCTCTGGTTGCTCACAAGATGATGCTCTTTGACACCAGCATCCTGTATTGCTACGAAGCATCCCTTCCTCATCAGGTACAGGAGACAGTGGTGGTTATTCCACTGAGAGAAGGGAGCAGAAAGGCTGCATCAGTTGCTGCTGAAGTCAGAGTTTCCTTTCGGCTTTTCAGAGCATCTTGTAGTGACAGTATGTCACCCCTTCTGCATAACATAGTTTACCAAAGTCAAATTGTTCCCACAGAGAAATAGGCCCATTTTTTTTTGATAGCTGTTGTGTATCMCTCGCTGGGATTACGGACCCTTTAATTCCTGTGAACACAATGTTAAATTTGGCATTGTGTGGGGGTACAGTGCATTTTATGAAGCAGTGAAAATGTCATGTATTGTATAGAGAGCAGTCTCATGTTTATACCCACAACCTGCACTGCTGCAAGGCTGCCTCCATTGGACCTCTTGCTCTACAGCTTTTCACTGTGATTCCTGCCAGCACAATCATRGGGAATTCTCTTCCCATTAATAAATGAGATCTGAAGTGTGTTCTGCTTTCATTCCCAGTGAGTGTYCTTTTGAAGTATAATTGTGCTTTAAGCCATGTCTCCACAAATACARTGTGTGTCCTCCAGGAGAGCTGAGGAGGGTTAGTAGCATTTCCTTTGATTTCCCCTGGTCTCTGTAGGAATTGCTAACTAATAAAGTTGGGCTTTGCCTTGGACCCTCTGCCGTAGGTCCTGTGACACCACAACCCTCTAAATTCCCTTGCTGGTCACTGCTGTGCAAGAGGAACCTTTGTCCCTACAGACTGTGCAAAAGTAGTAGTTGCTTTGTGGTGCTAACATTGCTCTTCTTTCCACTGCAGATCAAGGACATTGTGAAACCAGAGGTGACGGAGGAGATTGTTCTGGAAACTCGACAGAGGTTGCTGGATTTGGAGGGATAGGGCACATGGCCAGAAGCARTCATTTGAAATCCCAGCATGGCAGCTTTGATTCTCAGTATTACATGTTTTTTTCAGTGTTCTGGTCCCCAACATTCATTCCACACTTCAGAAACCACCAAAATTCCTCACTCCTAGGGTATCTCCTTGTCCTTTTAGTACAAAGTAGTACTTGAG